ATTTTTGTTAACAAACATAATAATAAAAAATGTTCATTGTGGCAAACGAAATAATAATTTGATCTAAGAAAGAGATTTTTTTCTTCCCAATTTGTAAAAAACCTTACGTGATAGACAAAAATGAATATTATTTTCGAAATATGCGTAGCTAAATTATGGAAAATCCGTTATTAAAATTAAAACAATTTTTATGAAGTTTAAATTCGCAGGCCTGTGTTATTATTACGATTTCCCGGGATGTTTTTAATGTGGAATCATAGCGAAGGTTGTATTTCTAGATAAAAGGTAGCACCACGAAAATGTTTGGGAACCACTGCCCTAAACATTTGACTTCTATATACAGATATGATACATTTCCAAAGTATGTATAGCTTAATTTCTTCGACAATAGCAGAAGTTTTATCATCCCAAATGAGCATGCTAATAATAAGGTTATATTTCCAGTTGTAACGAAAAACGTTCATCTTATATATATTACTGATCTCGTACAAGTATTACCATACAATGATTTTTTGTTGTACTATGAATAAATTATACAATATTGTAAAATTTGAGAACTTTAGCTATGAACTGTACAACTCCAATTACCAACTGGCTCGCTAATTAGTTTAACACATTGAAGTGTAGATACATGATCAATCTAACAGATAACTGTAACAATATGTGATCGTCACTTTATTACTAAAATGTTAAACAATGGTTAAAAAATACTTGCAATAACATTCACTATAACCTTCTTTATCCCGATTTAAAGACACTACATATGTTATGTAATAAGTTAATTTGTGGAATACTGAAGAGTAAACTTAGTACCGATTATACCTCCAATCAGCCTCGAAGTATTTGTTTTTGGAGGTCTATCACACCTGGAGTTTGTTGAATTTATTCTCTCTCTCTCTTGACTATCGGCATGATACTTACATAACTTCCGTCCAGGGTACGGGTACTGTAGCCAGTTTTAAAACACATTTAAAGTTCCCAAAACTAGCAACTAATTTTCCCAAGTATCTAACCTATATAAAAGCCCGTGTGTGTCACGTCACGCTCGATTTCTTGAAATAGGAGGAGTCATAAAAGCCAAAATGCATTTGTCCAGATAGAATAGTTCAATTACCGTCTGCCCATTACGATTTCAGTGACGGGGGGTGAAAGGGAGCCGTGAGTGTGTGTGTGTATGATGTAAAACCTTGTAAGTGTAGTGAGTGTTGGTATAATAAGCCTAAAGTAAAGACGTAGTGTGAGATCACCTAACCCAGAGCCAAGTGCATAAAACTTATCATGAAAGTAAAAATATCGATTCAGTTTTAAACTTAAATCGTTTCTGAATTAAACTATTTTCTGTTATATCACCAACGTTTCAAATAAAAAACAGAACAAATCTCCTTAATCAATGGAGACTCTAAATAAAGAAATCAACAAATATTTTTTCCAGTTTTGTTGTCTATACATTTCATTTTATACTTTCAGTACATAGACTAACAACAAACATTAGGTTATACTTTTGTGGCTAAGCAACATGACATAAAAGCCATTGTTGTTATCAAAACGCACTGGCTTTTCTATATATTAAAATATTTTAATCTAACTGATTTTTACCAATAATTATTCTAAGAATACGCCACGAATTCATTTCATGAATGATCTTAATTTTGATTGGCTCACAAAGAAATTTACCGACATTTGACTGCCTCGACTGCATTTTTCTGCCCCATTGTTGGTCAAGCTTGATTTCGCAAAATTTATTTATTTCAGTTAGCTATGAAATGTGAGGTTAGGGTATACTATGGGGTGGGGGTGGTAGTACTTTCTCCATCATTTCTAACGGGCTATAAACTTATAAGGTTACTCTGTGACTTAACGTTAGACCTTAGTATTACTATTAAGTACGATAAATTTTAGCCCTAACTAAACGAAAGCAAAAAACGTACAAAAGTTAATGTTAATTTATCTCTATCGAATTTAGATGGTACTTGATAGTCTTAACTAATGTCAGGCCTAAGAAAAGTGGACGTATATATTTTGGTATCTGTGATTAGAATTATCTTGTATTGTTCTAGAAATCCTGTACTTAAATAAGTTACTGTTGCAATAAAAAATTATTAATTTGTCCGCAGATGTTTTACGGGTCTCTGCTAGTATTACCATATATTTAGAGTATGTATGTTATTTAAGTAAAGCTTACTGTTGTGGAACGTACTTCTTTTACCTTCACTGTTCACGCCTGGACTTAATAATTATTTGCGATTTATTAGAAATTCCGCGAGATGGCGGTAAGAGATAAATATATATTTATTGATAAAAGTTTAGGGTTAATATAATATAGGGTTGTGTATATTAACCCCGATGAAGGCGAAACGTTGGTTGAAATAAAATATATTCTTTTATATTTATCTGGATTGCGAAAATCGTTTTTTCTAAACTTTTATTAAAATGTGTAAATCCCTCCAGTATTCTCTACAAATTTTGAAAGACAACAATATATTTATTCAGTTAAAATTCTTCATTTATCACAACTTACGCAATAATGTCTGTGAATAGTATAATACACAAGATAGCTAATCCGACGAGAGCAAACAGACTACAGAACAGTTGGTTCTTCCTCATCGTAATACCGTGGTTTAGTTGCCGCTAGACACGTTGATATAAAACTGTCCCACCTGTGAAAAACAACAACAAAAAATTCAGGTAACTTATAAGTGTGATGGTGTGTACGAAAGTATAGAAAAAATATGCTGTTGTCTTATTAGCTTACTCCCATAACTTTTTCGTATTTTCTCCGCTCACAATATACATGTAACTTTCTCGTATTGGTAAAAAAATCTATTCCGCCACAGGTTCTTCATGTTTCCTAGCTTATTCAAGTTTCTTTAAAGACATAATGACTCGTATCAATACACTAACTCTTTCTCATGTAAGCATAGAAAAACGGAGATTTTTTTTGTAACAGTTTACTGGTATAAGACTTAATGTGTGTATAAAACACGTGACATTTGAAGTGTATGTGAGTGTGTTTTGTCTGTTGTTAGTTCAGCTATTAGTACGAGCTGTGTGAGCAGAATTTTTAAATGTCACATATATATATCCTTATAATGATTAAACGTAATTGTGGGGAATGTATTTTTAGAAATTTTCTAGAAACTTCTGTAAATGGGTTAGGCAAGAAAAGGAAATCTATTATAATAAAAGAGTTTGTTTACGTGTGTGTGACCCCCCCTCCATAACTCCAAGAGGAAATAACCTAGAGCGCTGAAACTTTGGAAGCATACTAAGGAGATTCTGAGGGTGTGCACCTGGGTATTATTTCTTAGGTTTGACTCAAAAACATTTTGCCAATTTTTGGCCCTTAAGCCCTATAATTCTGATTCCCGAAGGTCTATAGAAAAGTATAAAATTTTTTTTTATAATTCTCACTTACTGAATGAACAACATGGGGGTCTAGCATGGCCAGGTGGTTAGAGTGCTTGACTCGCAATCAGAGGGTCGCGGGTTCGAATCCCCGTCCCACCAAATATGCTCGCCTTTTCAGTCGAGTGGGCGTTATAAATGTTACTGAGTAGCTCAAGAGTTAGTGGCGGGTGGTGATAACTAGCTGCCTTCATTGCTAAATTAGGGACGGCTAGCGCAGATAGCCCTCGTGTAGCTTTGCGCGAAATTCAAAACAAACAAAGTCGGCATGGGTTACGATGCATAAAACACTCTAAAACGAAGTTATTATTATCTAACATTTTATCATGTGGAAATACCCGGTCTGAATATTTGTAGCGCAAAAAAAAAAAAACAGCGAGTGTAATAAACATATAAAAACTACAATTTCTTGATATTCCCGGCAAATCTTTTTTCCATACTGTCTACTGTTATAATATACTATACCTAGGTAATATACTTTTAAATTGTTTAACTAAAATGTAAGGATCTGTGCTGTAAATTGTCCAAGTTTTGAATCGAACGGGATTGGTAATTATTACAAACTAGTGGTTTTCAAACTGTACGAAGCGATGGAACCCTCTTATTCCATTTTTTTCGTCACGGAACCCCAACCCTTAAAGTCTATCCTAGATGATTGTGACCAACTTCGTAACAGTATTGTTAATGTAAAAATTGTAAATAAATATACCAAAATGTTAAGATTGAAAATGAACTGACTTATGCTTTTTAAATATAAAAAAAACATCAAAATGTTTAGGTGATAACTGTGTTCTTCGTTACGTTCCTTTTCTGGAAGGAGTAACACGAAATGCATTTACGTCTTATAAAAACAAAAAAACACGTCCTATACTTCACTGTATGATAACCACACGCTACAACCAACTGATTATCACAACTCCCTATAAAGGTGTTGCAGCTCCTAAACATTTTGACAACAACACAGTGTGGTAATCACATGTGATTATCACAATTCTGGATAAAGATATTAAAAATTCAAAATATATCTTTATCCAGAATTGTGATAATCACATGTGATTACCACACTGTGTTGTTGTCAAAATTAAAAATTTAAAATATTTTGACAACTACACAGTGTGGTAATCACATGTGATTATCACAATTCTGGATAAATAATAGTGCAACTTCAAACATTTTCAATTCTGACTATTTTGAAAATAAATAAACAACAACAACAAGAGCTTGTGCTGTAGAAGCCACGATCAACAACAACAACAAGAGCTTGTGCTGTAGAAGTCACGATCAACAACAACAAGAGCTTGTGCTGTAGAAGTCACGATCAACAACAACAACAAGAGCTTGTGCTGTAGAAGTCACGATCAACAACAACAACAAGAGCTTGTGCTGTAGAAGTCACGATCAACAACAACAACAAAAGCTTGTGCTGTAGAAGCCACGATAAACAACAACAACAAGAGCTTGTGCTGTAGAAGTCACGAAAACTCATGATAGAAATATTGGTGAAATTTGAGAAGCTGTATGTATGCTTAATGATGCTGCACGAAGAAAATAAAAGGCACAAACTGTTGATGTACTTTTGAATAATTTTATAATGACAATCATATGTGTTTGTAAACATATTTTGATTTTGCATCTTGTTTGTGTTCTACTATTGACGAGCATGGTTATGAACTCGAACAAAAGGCACGAACTTATTTGATTGAGTTTGTTCACAAGTAAAACTAAAAGTATGTTTAATACTTGAGAAGAGTTTTACTTTAAACATTATAGTAAACAAATCATCCTGAAAGATATGCAGGATAATTCATGATAACAGAGCCAGTCGGTAGACTCCATAAACACGTTGTTATTATTCTGGAATTATGAAACCTTGAAATAGGAAAACAAGGTTGATTAATTTTAACTTTGTTCTGTTTTAGAAAACTCTTATTAATAAGCCAACCAGTGGCACAGCGGTATATCTGCGGACT